CCTTGATATCTGTAGCTTGCTCTGCAGTGTCAGAGAGCCGGCACCTGTGACACCATCAGAAATACTGACTGATGAGCTGGCTACTGACGAGAGGGATTTCAGTCTTACTCTAAGGGAAGTAAACGAAGACTGGGGAAGACTCGATTGTGTTCTTGTCCAGCCTCACTTCACACTGACATTTACAATGTCCCAAATAAGACAGAGACAGGCCATGACAAAGTTATATCTACTGACTGTATGAAAGAGGAAGTACATTTTCCATTAATTTAAGACAGCTAAGCTCCATGGTCTGGATGTTTCCTAACCCTATGGGACCAGAGCAAAGACAGTGATGACACCAAGAATGGGTGGGAGCCAGGCCACTGGTGATGAGAACTAGTTGGTGACTGGACATTATAAACCATGTCTGGTATGGTTGAAATATGGAATATACTTTCTAATCCAATATTCTCATGTAAAGATGTTTAGATAATACATTTTAAGAAATTAGAATACAATAAAATAGAGGAACAACTTTGAGTATGATTTCTTCTGTAGCAAAATATAAATCGATCAATCATTTTTATCAATAAAGGTAAAAAAATGTCCATTAATGGAGCTGAAAGAAGCTATATGGGGCATCAGAAAAGGAATAGATTTAAAATTGGGAAATTGGGGCTTGAAGAACAGGACTGCAACTTGTAGGCTGTGGGACAGTCATTCAGAGAGGCGTGTCGTTCAGTGCCAAAAGCACGGGATTCTGAAGGCGCGTCAGCCCAGGTTTGAATACTGCCACTGTCACCAAAGCCATTTAACCCTTTGGTGCCTCTGTTTTCTTATTTTTCACATCGGTGGTAGAACTGCGTGATCATGGTGGGTCCTCCATCACGTCTCTCTACAAAGAGTTTACAGATGAGATGGAATGAAGAAACCTCCCATTCATCCACTAAACAGAGAGGGTTTGGATCTGTGGTGGTCTTCACCATGGCCGAGCCTGCCAATGGGGTCGGCATCTGTCTTTCTCCATTCTTTGATGCACACGGGCAGGACCCCCCACATGCCAAGGAGCACGGCCCGCCCCACCCCTACAGTCTTTTGCCAGTGAGCCATGAACAAACCATACACACAGAGAAGCATCTTTTTTCCCTTCAATTTAATTGAAGTTACTTAGAAAAATAATCAGGCTTGAATGGCTTTTCCTGGAGGAGGGTTCATGAACATTTTACGCTTTCGTTGGCAATGTGGAATTCAGCTTTCTTGAACAGTACAGTAAGATACAGGGAGAGTTTTCTACAACAAGCCCTCTACTGCATACAAATATGTAAAAAAAAAAAAAAAAATCACTCCCCAGAGATGTTAAATTATATGTCCATATGACATACTGAGCATGCTCATAAGAAAATAGTACGGGCAGCCCCTTCTGTACCTGACAAAGAGCAGCAGACTGAAATTGGCCTGCTAACGGCCAACAGTCAGCTGGTTGTAGAAGGTCCTGTCGCCTGTTCATAAGGTCCCGTTAGTTGTGATGGACATGACTGGAGGAAATGCTGGTTGTGGGAACTTAGGAGAGCAATGAGGTCAGTCCTGCTGACGTAAGGGTGGGCAAGAAAGGGATTCTTTGCACCGATCGTGGCAGCTCGATTGTGTATGTGTAGGGGAGGGCTGGGCTGAGAGAGATGAACTCTGAGCACTAGCCGCCAAAGGCAGAGTCCCTTGGCTTCTTGCCAGGTTAGAACAGGGACTCGTGCAATTCTTACCTCAGCACTGGTCCAGACCCCTCTAGCTAAGTGTGCTGGGGACTTGCTTTGGTTCTGGGGACTTTCTACTAGCAAGATTCACACCCTTGGGTCTCCATGCTTTTGCCACCAGGAGGACTGGTCCGACTGAAGTTTTTACTGCTCACCTGTGGCATTCAAGCAAGCAGGAAGGGAAATCTCACCTGGTGGACAGGTAAGAAGGAAGGTCCCCTCTGAGACACCACAGGTCAGCGGACTGCCTTTCTTCCCAGACCAGCTGGGAGGCAGAGAGGGGGCGTCTAGAGAAGCTGCAGGAATTCAAATCTTGTGGCTAATATTCTAGAGTTTTCCAAACCAAAAGGATAAGGTAAAAAGAAATGTCCTTGTAAATACTACCCTGACTGTACCTGGTTTTGAAAACACAGCAGCATCCTTGAAAAGTGGCTCGGAGATGGGACATCTGCCTGTACTTTTCTCCGGCTAAGCATGCGATAGAAAGTGTTTTCAAAGTTTTCTTTAAAAAAACATGAACTTCTGTTTCCCAGGAACATTTTCACCCATAGGTTCTTTTTAACCAAGGACACGGAATACTTTGTATATTCTGCAAAACGGTCAAATCAATTAAAAAAATTGTTTATACCATTAGAAAATAAACTATGAATAGGCAACAAAACATGAGAAGCACTCATACTGCAGAATCACACTGATGTATCATCCCCTGAGGGACAATCTTTCTCACTTGAGAGAAAACGAATGAAAGAAGACGATCTGCACACAGCGCTGAGCTCGCTCGCATAGCTGATCAAAGATGGACACGGGAATGCAAAGCCCAGGAACACCGAATTTTCATTTTAAAACCGAAAAGCACACAGTGAACAATTCCAGGCTATGGAATTGAAGAAGCGCTCAAGGGTTGAGCTCACTCTGCTTGCATTGAGCAACATAAGGCTTGAGGAGTAGGGGGACCTCTGTGGCCCTGTGTCCCATCTGCACGCCCCCCGGCTTCCTCCCGTCCACACCACCCAAGACTTTCCTCCACTCTGCTTAGGAGAGATGGAATCGTTGCTCGTGGTAGTATCCGAGATGAGAACCATTGCACGTAAGGAAAAGTTCAATTCATTTGATAAAGTACCTCTGCTGCTGTAAACCAGATGGACACTGCGGTACTCTTTCATTTTTTGTTTTGTTTTTGTTTTTTGCGGGGGGGGGGGCAAGAAAAGCAGTTTTATTCCTTGAAGACCTCAGAAGTGCTAAATCAGTCTAACCAAAGTATGCTCTGCGGACCACTAGCTCTGTGACATGACCTGCAAAATAGGGTATCCTGCTCACGGAAGTTCGGGAAATGCTACCGACTCCATAAACTCTTGGGGGTTCACAACGCACGGCACACATTCAAGGTTCTGAGAAGTCCTGCAGAAAGGAAACCGACTTAACTTTGTTTGCCAAGGACCCGTGACTGCAAAACTCTTATTTTGCACCACGCGAACTTGACACTCCCTAGAATCTTTGTCCTGTAAAGCACATATTAAAATAGGCTGGACAACCTGTTTCACTAGCAGAAGCCCTATTTCTGAGGACAATGTCCCCTGCCTGAAAATAGGATCCACACTCCCAATTCCAGGGACAGCTGAAGACTGTCACTATACTTGGTAAAACATGTGTAATTATCTCTTCGTCAAGGGTAACGGCGCTGTGCCCTTCACGAGGGGAAAGAGCTTGGAAGAAGGTATACATTTATAAATAGCTTCGACCGCCTTCTCCAGTGCCCACCTCACTCACATTCAGTAAAATAATTTTCTCTGTGAGATGTGGCAGCTGCCGCTCATCGAGCTGTCTCTGAGCTTTACCATACAATTTTAATAGTTTCTGTGAATAAATTATTCATTTTTTTTTGTTTGTTTTAGAATACTCTTCTCCCCCCTTGGCTATATACTGCATCAAAAACAAAACAAAAAGCAAAACTTACCCATACCCCCTCCCACCCCACCCCCTATTATTAGAACTATCATTATTATTATTATATACAGTATATGCTACCAACTCATTCACTAGCTGTAAGAGGGATGTGGCTCAAACTTCAGCCGAGGCATTGGAAATGCTGGAAATGAGAAGCGTGTGCAGGTATTAATTAGCGAAGAACAGGAAGTGGATGTTTTCAGCCTTCCAGAAGAAAGGGGGCATGGACATCATCGCAGAAGGCTGTCCTTGCTGCTCATGCATGGCAGAGTCACAAAGGTGCCGCATGGTCTCAGCCTTGGGAGGACTTGGTGGGGAGAGGGGTGGCGGGCGGTCCGCATGTGCGTGTGTGTACCAATAGTCCACTTCTCGTAACCTTCATGGGGGGTAGAAACGCCAGACCACTGCGATCCCCGAGGGTAGGGATCCTGCCACAGCATGTCACTCTTCTACATGACAAGAGGAGAAAACAACACTTCTGCATGGAGATGTGGCTGCTGGACTGGCGAAGACAGGAGGCGGCACGGCACACAGCGGAGTTCTCCTTCCTCACCCAAAGCAGACAGCACTAATCGCTCACAGCACTCGTCTATGCGGCGGCGGCTAAATCTGTTCTCGGGCTTGAAGGCAGACATTACCAATAAATAGGAGTGGGCACATGATTGGAAACATTTTTGTCCTCTCTTGTGTTGGGCACTGAGCTTGGATTACTCACCAAGTTAAGTGACCTGCTCCAAGCACGTGGTTTTCAAATCTGGGCCACAGAAAAATCCAAATTTGTAGGGGTCATGGACCTTCTGCTTATGAAGAGTCCAAACCTCATGTTAAGTTTGAAATATCGGGGAGTTAAAAAAAATATTAGGGGTTTGCTAATTGCCAAGCTAGATGCTCTGTGTCCATGTAAAGCTTCTTGAGGGCTGAGACTATTGGTTTTGTTCAATGCTCTACCCACAGGGCCTAGAATAAATACTTGTCAACTATAAAGCAACAGCCACTTCGCGTTCATCACAACTGGCACTGCCAGTTAAAAATTTCCTTAAAAAAGCCTATTCTATCAGATTACTAATTCTGGTAGGGAAAAAAAGCTACAATCAGCTCTCTTCTTGGCTTAGGGAAAAAAAAAAAATCACATTTCTTCAGTGCAAGGGATTTTCGGTTGATTAGAAATCGGTTTAGAATTAGGCCCTTGCAGAGGTACCTCTTTCTATTTCTTTCCAGCAGAATTTCAAGCATGGTGGCATCAGTACACATCTCAAAGGCTGTTATCCCACAGTGACTCCATGAGTTCTGAGAAGAACATTCACACCCCCAAATGAGCTACAGCAAGCACAGAGTGAAACATAGATTTCTTCTGCGAAGACATGAGAGTTTTGCTGCCACAAAAAGAAATCTATACAGAGAGCATGTTTAAATAACTATAAATAATATTAATTAGAATTTATGGAATGCACAATTCATGGAATTCACCAGAACACAAGGAAACCTTTGAGACAGTGTTGCAGGGTTCACGTCTAAAACCGAGGACACCCACCCTCTTCCCCTGCAAAATCAGCTGTCCTTCCCTACTAAGGATTTTAAATAATTCTCACTATGCTGCTTGCAGCATCATCCCCAAAGAAATATTAATTTACAAAATAACCCAATATCCATATAATTCTTTTGACAAATAAAAATCTTAAATTAAAAAGCATGATTCTCTCCCTCTCCCCACCCCCTTTATTCCAATTTCAGGTAGCTTGGCACTGAGTAATTGAACATTAAAAAATCGAGTTTGTACACTTCGTACAGCTGCGTTTGGTGCGCTGAGCTGATGTTCTGGAAGAACTCTGTGGTCATTTCATCAGTAGTTCTTGTGGACTTGGCATAGGTGGGGAACTTCAGGTAGCTGCCCACGCCTGCCAGCTGCAGGACGTAATTAGAATCCTCCTCCAGCGTCTCGTACTTGCCCACGAGGTCGTAGTGGATGAGGCACGGGTGGCAGAGCGAGTAGACGGTTTGCCAGTGTTCGTTGAAGGGCTCCTCGCGCTGGGTGTGCGGGTCGATGAGATAGGCCACGAACTCCTCGAACTTGACGTCGTCGCCTTTGCGCAGGGCCTCCTGGGTGGCGTTCTTCCGCTGGCGCTTGATGATTTTGGTGCCGTAGCGCTTGTGGAAGGAGGTGTTGTACTTCTGGGTGAACTTGTTGCGGTAGGCGGACACCAGCCTCTCGAAGGGCTCGCGGACGAACAGGAACTTCATGTAGCTTTTCAAGCGGTGGTTGATTTCTGGGATGCTGTACTGGTTCAGGGTCTTCAGGTTGGCGGACACGTGGGCCTCGTTGGCTGGGATCTCCATGGGGTCGCTGTACTTGCCCCGCCCGGTCAGGACCATCATGAGCCGCTTCCAGTTGGTGCAGGCCACCTTGGGCACGTAGCAGTAGATGAGCTCGTGGTCCTCGTCCACCACCAGGTGCTTCAGGTCGTTGGGGGTCAGCACCCGCCGCTTGCGGCTCGTGGCGCTGTTGGCCCTGCACGTATCCGTGACCTGGTCCCGCCTCATCTGGTGCAGGACAGCGGTGTTGGAGAGCTCCAGCTGCAGAGGGGACACAAGCGGAATAAGAACTCAGTACTCCTGTGTGGGATATTTCCGCTTGGCCACATCCATAGGCATGATGGCCAACGCAGGCCACCAAGGCAGCCGGCTGACAACTAAATGGCCTGAGTCTCCATTTCTAATTCCCCATCAGCTGTCTCAATTACCATTGTTCTTCGTCCCACCATCCTCCCCTTGTAGCGTAATGATCAATTCTGTAACTATCCGCCACCCTCTACTTGCCTGGCATTGTACTAGAGCAACATACGGGCAGTTTTTCTTTTCTCTGTACAACCAACTTGAACTGTCGTTGATTTATTTAACGATATCAAGTACCTGCTATTGTGCCGGACAACGTGCGGCCAGGCACTGGGGATACAGTAATAAAAAATAGTACAGTGAAGCAATTGCCCTCATGGAACTTCCAGTCTAGCTGGGAAGAAAGAGGGAAGGGAGGCTCAGAGAGGTTAAGTTACTAGCTTAAGAGCATATAGTGAGCAAGAGACAGAGCCAGTATTCGAACTGAGGTCTGCTGGGCAACCAGAGCTGCCCACTCTCCACTCTCCTCTGACGTCCAATACCCCATCTTCCTGAAGTAGGAAGAAAGCATGGAGGTCTGGCATTCGATCGATCTATCTTAAAGCGAGGGGAGCCAGTTTTTCCACGAGCCTAGCATTATGGACATCTGTTGCTTTTTTTGCGTCCTCTGGTATCAGTGCCTTGATTTTTCTGTGGAAACCCATTCTCCATTCTCAGTTCCCTTTCCTCTCAAACTGCTGAGCTGTGAGAATGGCAGCCTGGAGCTTGGCTGGGAAGGGAGGGGAAGCTGGGAAGGGAGGGGGAGACTGGGAATGAAGGACACCGAGGAAAGATGAGCAGAAAGACAGAGGGACGTATTCCCAGTGACATCATCTGAACGCCTAGCTCTAAACGTTGTTGAAACCAGACCCCCAGCTCCTGGGCTTTTGTTACATGAGTTAATACATTTGCTTTAGGCAGTCGGAGTCTGGATTATATCGTTTGCAACCCAAAGAGTTGGACATTTGCCTGTATTGTCTTTGAGCTTTTCCTCTCCGCCATATTCATCCACTGATCCATCTATTCAAATGTGTGTGCAGACCTCACGATGTACAGGGCACTCTGCTCAGCACCACTGGGAGATACAACCTTTACCTCAAGCTCACAGTCTAGGAGGCACCAGGCCAGAAAGCTGACGGCCTCAACAGGGGCCAAAGGGAGGTCGTGTGTGCTGCTCTAAGTTTTAGGAGCAAAAATTCTTGCCCAAAGGCCATTTGCTCCCAGTCTGAACCAGTCCTCACAGTCCACGTAGAATAGGAAGCAAAACCACAGTGGCTTGGCGTGTTGCTGTCTTGGTGTCCAACACCCAGAGGCTCAGAGACTTTTATGAACTGGTGACACCGTATTATTTTTGGCTTAATGCCATGCCTCCATCTACCCTCCTGAATGTGCGATGTGGCTCTTCTTTTAAATGTAGAAAAAAATTAACATTAATTACGGTGAAAGGTATAGAGAAACCGGGCCTCCAGGGCTATGGGATCGCCACTCTGGGGCTGCGGGTGACACGGTGCCTTGGTTGCCTCCCCATCCAGTCACTCGTCTCTTCGGGTCCCGCACAGCCCAGCACCAACCTACTTTTCCAGCCTCATTCCCACTCCTCCCTCCTAAAGAAGTGAAAGGCTCCAGAGAAACCGATGCTTCACTCTTTTCCCTTTGGGCCCAAACACTCCCATTTGGGATTCTCCCCTGCCCATCTTTGCTCGTCTAAACTCAACAGTCCCTCGAGGCCCAGCGCGCTCCCCTGCCACACGAACGAAAGAATCTTTCCCTCCTCTGAACAACCACCGCACTGAGCATCCTTTATCACACGGCTACCCAGCCTACTTCATGGTTGGTTTCCTCAAGTCTGGTGGCCGCTTGTTTCACAGGGACTTAGAGCCCCAGAGCCACTGCCCCCTCCAGGCCAAACTCTGTGGCAGGATTTGAGTCCTGGGAGTGCAGAGGGATCGGTGAAACCCTTCCCTCCTCCGCCCCAAACCACCTGCATAGAGCCAAGGGCCTGGGTGTGACCCAAGGAGCTGTGTTTCCAACTCTGAACCACAATCTGTATAATTCATGCTGAAATGTGCACAGGGCAACTGGAATGGGCCTAAATTAGGAACACTGGTGAGTTACCGGGGACCTGAGGAATATCCTGGTGGCTACTGGCAAGAAGTCATTACACCCTGCATTAGAGCTCTGTGACTGCCTCCCCTCACGGTCCCCACGATGACGATGACGGTAACGATGGTGATGGGGATGATGAGACAGTAGGAGACACAACAGCCAGCAGGAGCCACTCCGTGCGAGGCACCTTCATAAGTTATTTGAATACATTCTCTCTCATCTGCCCAGCAATTCTCTGAACTAGATGCCATCACCAATGGAAATTTCCACGCTCAAGGGGAAGGGAGCAAACCAAGAGAGAGAGCCAGTGGTTTGAAAAGTCCGTGGGTGAACACTGTCACTCTTCCCATCACGAAGCAGAGTCTATTTCTTCAGCCCCTTGACTCCAGCTGGCTGGGACTGGCTCTGACTAGTAGAATGTGGCCGAAGCGATGATGAGCAAGTTCTGGGGTCTATTATGAGTCTCGGGTTCCCACACTTTGCTCTCCTGGCACGCCGCCAGACTTCATACCACGCTGCCGTCAGCGTTCTCCCCGCCGAATGTAAGTATTACGAAGGAAAGACTTCGTCTTCCCATGGCTATGTCTCCAGTGCTCACACAAGTGCCAGTCACACGGTAGATGCTCAGTATTTGTCGAGCAAATGACTGAATCTGTTAATAATGTCTACACCCTAGATCCTTCATAGGGTGCCTTGCCGACACCTTAATTTTGGACTTCTAGCCTCCAGAACTGTGAGAAAATACATTTCTGTGGCTTTTTAAAAAGTAGTTTCAAGTATACAGTGCATTGGTTAGACATTTATGTAGTTTATGAAACGATCCCCCTGACTCCTCTATCTTCCTAAATTTCTGTTGTTTTAAACCACCAGGTCTGTGGTAATTTATTACAGCGGCCCATGGAGATGCAGACAGGAGACGAGCCTTCCGTCTACAACTTTGAGCAAGCTGATCGAAGACTTAAATGTGTCAGAGAAGAAAACATAGACGAGAATACGGCATGTTTACATAGAAGAATACGGAAAGGGTATTAGGGCCTCGGTAAGTAGAAAGGGGATGAGAGGTGACATCAGAAGACTCAGGCTTGATCTCGGGCAAAACCCTTAACTGTCTGAGCTTCCGTTCTCCTATTTGCAAAATGGGGATAGTTAACCCCTACCCGCAGGGGCGTCGAGGAAATTGAACAAGGTATGACGCAGCATTTAGAAAGTAAGGTCAAGTCTAGTTCACAATCTGGACAAAGCACGGTACACAGTAGGTAGTTAATATGTATATATTCGTCTGTGAAAGAAGAAAAAGGAAATCCTAAAAAGAATAGGAATCTCCAAGACAAGTTTCACCTGCTCAGTAATTTTGTTGTTGCAGGCCGGCCGTCGGTCATGGAATTCAATTAATATTGCTTTTGAATAGAAAAACTGACTTTTGTGTTTCCTAGTGGATGTATTTATCACCTGAAGAAGAGCACTCATGCCATTTAAAACACTGAGAACAACAAGAAAAACGAACTGTTCTAAAGGAAATGGAAGGGCCAGGAATGAAAAGGCGCCCATCATTTTAGCCCATTTGAATTGCTAAGGACGATTTTGAAGGTAATACATTGCTAAATGAGCAGAGAAATATGGGGATCTCGCCCCCACCCCTGCCTTCCAGCTCTTTTCAGTGGGAGGCAATTATCTGACCATCTGCATCCCCAGGGAGGTGGCGTGTCAGTTAATACTACACTCAGGACCACGAAACCATGGAAAATGGCAATGACACCACTGAATTGTTACACATCCAGTGGCAGAGACAGAAGATAACTCAGTGGGGCTTCGAAATGCGGTATTTGAGGTTTCTTTCTCTCCCATTTCCTTCTTCTCCACTGCGGCTGAGGTGGCTAATGGTGAACCTGCTGCAATGAGGCACCCACGATTTCCCTCAGGAGGACTCTGGGGTGCAGGTCAAGGGAATAAGCAGATTCTAAAACATGAGACACATCCAGACCCCTCTCGGAGTAAGAAGTTTGCCTGGGCCTCTAGTGTTGGATTTTTTTTTATAAACTATTTCAACTTGTGTTTTTTTTTTTATTTTAACTTTTTGTTTTAAAATAATTTCAGACCAGTGTTGTTTAACTTGCTGAAAATACAATATTACTAAAATATGCACCAATATAAGACTAGGTATAGAAGCACGTGACCAAAACGAATGTAAACGCTGAAATGAACAATATTAAGCCGAGGGATGAGGTAGTTTTGCTGCTTGAACGTGCAGGGAGCTGGCTGCCGCCCTGGGCAGGCCCTTTGTGGTGTGTGTGGCATTACACAAAGTCTTCGTCCTGCACGAGGACTCGATTTCTCCACCACGTTTTGCTTCTAGTTACCGTAAAACCCAGAACCCTGTAACATCGCTTGACCTTTACTCGGTACAAACTCATCATTTACCTATTTTCTGACTCTGCCTATTTTTCATTAAGACAATCAAAATGGACTTACACGGTGCCATTGAGACCAGTACCGAACACATGTGCCATGTTGTCACATGGCAGGGCTAGGTGATCAGAGGTGGCCCTGATACTCTAGATCTGCTTTAACTTTTTCAAAAGGTGATCACCAAAATAAAAGTACAAAATTTATACGGTGCTCATATAGGGCTCCTGACCCTTGGGACTTTTATCTGTGGACCCTTGAGTTTTAGTTTAAGAAACTTGGATTAAGGGGAGCTCCAGAGGGAAGACAGAAATTCTTCACTGTTCTGCCACGATAGGGCAGGAGAGATTTCTGATGGCAGTCCAGGCTCTTCCAGAAATCTGGTTAATAGCACAGATGACATGTTATAAATC